CCTCTGATGCCGCCCCGGCTCTAAAAGAGGTACCCTTGAAATGAGAGGCCGCCAAAGTGTCAACGCAAGTAGCATCCCACACTAGGGCTTTACCTCTCTCCCAAGGGACCTAAGTCATACCGTCGGGTCTCTTGACATCGTCTCTAAATATCCCGCAAGGCTCTAAAATCGAGGGGACATTTATGGAGACAAGAGCCCTTCGGATGATTTCGTTCAAAGAACCGTGACGGGAAAACCTACCTGCACTTTTCTTGTATGAAAGTCCGTGGAGTACAAACTCATCGACGCTGCTACCACAGGGGCATTCGTGAGGTTGACAAATTGCCACTCCTAGCCGGATTCCTACGGCGATGCGCAAGCTTTCCCCATCAAGCAATGTGCCGAGATTACTTGATGTTAGAGCATGTAACCATTTAAGTGACATTAATTAATAAATTTAAATATAAATAAATTCACTAATTTAGCCACTAGCTAGTGAAATGTTTATGAATATTACTTTAATCTTATTATTTCATATAATTTTATTTATTATACTTTCATACTGAAACCTTTACCTGAGGTACTTAAATAGAGGCCGTTTGTTTTAGTATTTGTATGTCGATAAAATTATATAATACTACATTTTATACACCAAAAATTGCCGTGCCATTGTATTTCTTCTCTGTAAACATTTCATAACCTGTCTATCACAATAATATTGTTTTGATTGAATTTGATTTGAGGAATATCATATTATTGGAACTTGAGTAATATCACATGTAAGTTAATTCCCTGAACATGTGATAGTCTTTAAGAATAGTTACTTAAAATTACTCATTCGCTCTTTATCCACCATCAATAATAATAACAATAATAAAGCCTCTATATTTTCCTAAACTTATAGAGTTTTAAACTAAATTAAATTTTGGATTATAATAAGATTATACATATTAATATATTATGCACATCTATATAGTTGAAGCCCTGGCGGGTATAGGCCTCCTCCAACAGTTTCCAGGTATTTCTGTTCTTTGCTTTCTTTGTCCTGTCGTTTCATATTTACTTGCAATATTAGGCCTATTTAGCATAAAAAAATCTTTTAATAAACATACGCATCGATTATAGAACCTCCTTTTTTTGGAGTCGGTTAAAATTAAATAAATGACTTCGATTATGGGATTATTAGAATATTATACTCGTCGCACGAACATTGATTAAATAATCCGCCATAGAGAATAAATGTGAAAAATGAAAAAATATTTTCACAACTCCCCACCCCCCTGTTAGTACCTCAAGTGATTAAAGGACTAACCCTTAACGAAAAAGCACCCGTATTTATATATTCACGTTAGATGTAACTCTCGTAAAATAAGATCTGAGATAAGCTAGAATGCAGAGTGTAAGGCTGCTTTTCTGGCTAGGATTCTGTATATGAACCACGCTCTTATGGATTGAGGACTGAGGTGGAAAGCCTCGTTTCCAGTAAAAAGGATCTCCGGTTCTCTATACCATACGAAACACAGCAACATTAAGCTGCTATTTTACGCTGGTTTTCTGTGAGAGCGTGGTCCTACCCCGGTCGAGCCAACCCATTCGTGCTACAACCATAATTTAGCTGCAGCTTGTCTCTACCACGTATAATGAAGTGTATAAAATATCCTTTTTGAATTTAGAGAGGGAGCCATTACACATGTCAAGGCTATCATATTTCTTAGCGAATTTATTATACAGTCACTTATTGCAGATAAATAGTTATCAGTTCCAGACTTTTTTATCCTCAAGGGGGCGCGGGATGCTTTTACAAGTCCTAAGTTGTTGTTTGGCTTCTCCACTTACAAAAGAAATTTTTGATGTTGTACTTAATCTGAACAACGTCAAATAACTTCTTACCAAATGAGTTCTCTGAACAATATATCATTGCAATCTGCCGATGGCCGACCTCGTTTAGTTTAGGGGAAATGTCAGCAAATAAAGTTAATGGATCTACCCCCGCGGCTTATACACACGGCTTTTTAATTTTTTGTATGAAAATATATTATGTTCTTTTTTTAAATACGACACACTTTTCAATAACATATTTCTAGTTTTAAAATGACGTCTGAATTGAATATAATTAATACAATTGTGTAAATTTTTAGTGCGACACCATTACGACGACAACAGACAAATAAAGGATTAAATATAAAATTTTTATTCAATATAGATCACATGTACATAATTCTTATTGAACTTCATTTTTTAATTTACCACCGGTTCGTAAAAAAAACTCCAACTTGCACCAAGAATGAACTACTGACTCTATGGAGTCGAGAAGCTGGATTCACTAGCTTGTGGTTGTTCCTAGTGTTTACAGAGTACATACAACTTTTTATTTCTACAACTACTTTTATGTGAACCTACATTAAATTTTATAAATATATTGAGAGGTCAATGTTAATATATTTATTTCTTAAAAACTTTTTCTGAGAGATTCTCGCGGTTTCAGGTTGTTGGAGCTCTTATGGCCTTCTTCTGCCAAACAAAAATAGGTTTCTAATCAGCCGTCATTGAAATTGAATAATATATAACTTTCAAATAAATTTGTCGGTACGCTACGCGCGCCACCTACTGTAAGTTAATTGCAACATGCATATAGCCTTAGCACAAGTGCCAGCTATACGTTGACAAAGATTTACCGCAATTTTGCAAACGATATGGTGGTGCATAAAATACGAACAACAAACATTAATTTTTATATATTTAACATAGATTAAATGTAATTCATATTGAAAGTCATTTTTTACTTTACCATTGGTTCGTTACCTCCTCAAACCTACTTTAAAAATTCATTTAAACCGGTCCAGCTATTTAGGTGGAGTTCAGTAACAAAAACAAATACACAAGAATCATACAAGTAGTAAAATTAAAAACTTTGTACAACCAACTTTTATCCAACTTTTATACGACCTAACCAATGTATTCGAAGTCAATGAAATCGCTTTATTAAAGATAACTGAAAAACTTATATTAGCTTTCAGATAAAAGTAATCATCATAATCGGTTCAGCCAGATAAAAGTTATGAGGTAACACACAAAAAAAAAATGATCGAATTACCTCATCTACCTCATCCTTTTTGAAGTCGGGTAAAAAATAAAAATAAGAAATAATGTATTTATCACACATGTACATAAATTTGTCCCATGTCGGTCTGGGATTGGTAAGTGCCATGGCTTTGTGAGACTTATGACATCAAAGAATGTACCAACTGTGATAATTGTCTCGCATGTCGTAAAAGACGACCAATTGGACACGTTGGGTTAGTCACCTATAAATTTTTTCACAATTTTCCATCTACCCCCATATTTTCCTCGGGGATTACAGGCGTGATGTATATAATAATACTTTATTATAATTGATTTTATTATGTGTACGATAAAGCTGTTCCCCGCGACTTCATCACGTGTAATTTATAGTTTAATATATAATAACTTCTTACTAAAATAAAAGTAGTGTAAATTACTCCTTATGACTTTAGCTATCTGCTGACAGTCCCGTCAAAATTGGTCCAGCCATTTCAGAGATTAGCCGGAAAAAAGTCCGATAGCCAATATTTTAAAAAAATTGTTTTTGTTATATACTTTCATATACATTTAATAAAAAGCTGTGATTATGATATTAAAAACAGACATTGAAGTTTTATTTATTTGTATGGATATAAAACACAATAAAATTGGATAGTCGCACCAGCAGTGTGTAATAACAATGGCACCAGGAAAGCAAAACTGAAAAGCCGCGTCGCGTACAACCTAGAATCTTTCATTTCTTATCGCGACTTAAGTCTACCACTCACGAATATCAAGCCCCAGGGCAAAACTCTGGAAGATCTTTGATATATGTTGTCATATAACTCTGTAGAAACGACTCTAATTCTGACACAAATGGCGTATGTAAAAATGATTTAAAAATAGTTTGGCGGCAGAATAAAAACCCTTACGATTATATAATATTAAACAAAAGTTCAATGGTTAAAAGAGTAATAAATAACAAAACCGAACAAGTTTACTGAAAAAGAATTCAAATACTATATGTCACTTGTACAACTGAGACAAATCTAACAAATTCCCATTTGTTAAAATTTTATATCTATATGTTAAAATAACTACTATGAAGGAAGAAACAAGGACACAGAAAAAATCAAAATTTCATAAGGAAAAGAAATTATATAATATAATTATGTTTCACGGCTTCATTCTTTGCGATTTGTTGTTAACGTATTGTAGTAGCAACTTCATGTACTAGGCTTGCACGGATTTTAAAAAGTTTTTTTTTTGTATGGTATCCCTACTAATGCTGGCAACACTACCCTTGCCTAGCTAGGGTCGCGTGTTCCCATTCGAGTCATTCTGTATCTCCGTGCTCAAGGCTTCGCACGTCTCTAGCCTTATTGTACAAAAGTTTACTAATTTTCGGCAAAAAATGAGAAGAAAAAGAAATCAAGAAAAAATTTTAAAACTGCAAAAGCGGGTTATCAGAGTTACCAATACGGGATAATCTTTGTTTGTGGAGGAATTAAGCGGTAAGTTTTATAATTTAGATTCAATACATTGATGCGTTCTGCTAAATTTGGGCTACTACCGTCATTATTGATCTAAATAAAAAAAAAATTGTAGTTGTGATGCGAGATACCGTATTTGGGTTACCTCTGTCACAATAAAAGTGACGCGAACTGCTAATTTTGAGCTGATACTATCACATTTTTATTACAAACATTTTAATAAGAACCGTTTGCTGCAGATTCACCGCTGCATCCACTAAGCACGTCTCACGCTTTATCACCAACGTCATACGCGGAATCTCCTTTTCTGGTTGATGGGGTGGTTCACTTACATATGCCCATTTTGTCAGGAAATGGTTCTCCAGGAACTGGTTCTCTACCGCCTACTTTCCCAAAGATCGCCGGTGCAGAGAATGGCACCACAGTCACCGCAACCGTAGGTTGACGAAAGACCGATTTCTCCAACACCTGGAACCTTTACAGCCGATGGTGTTAGAGGAGCAACTCGACGAAGACATACTGGTTTTGCTTGGTGATGCACCTAAGACCGAGACCCCAATAGGTCCAGCTATCCATAAGGATACAGCCAATCGGTGCCAAGACATACTTACTAAAGGGTTGGCAAAAGACGTGAAAGAAAGTCATTTGAAGACTTATCTTATACCCTTCAACTGTGACCTCCTGATTGCACCAGCTCTAAACTCTGGGGTTAAAGCAGCCCTGACAGAGACTTCTATAAAACGAGACTTGTATTGTATAAAACGAGACTCAACTACCAGTGTTGAGATTACCTTATTTTAAAGTTCGCCCTATTATATGTTGACTTGCTTAGAAACATACGTTAATAAAACTCAATCGCTTCGTAGTAATTTATATTTATTTATTAGTTTTAAACGCCCACGTTCATAAATAACATCTCAGACTCTCAGCCGCTGGATAAAAAAGATACACTTTACGACGACGAATTCTTAAACACTTAAAAAATAATTGTTCTGAGCACACTTATCTATTGTTCTAATTAAACGTAGTGATTATGGAGTATATCTTTGGTTCTCCCTTCTAAATAATATCATACTCTTTGTAGGGTACTAGTCAAATGGCGTCCTCATGTATTTACCCAGAACTCCACAGATTAATATTGATAAAAGAAAGTTACATAGCAGCCAGACAGATTCCCATTGGTCACAGACCTCATCGCTACGACATTCACACCTAAGATGGTAAATAAGGAAAGTAAAAAGAAAAAATTAGAATGAGGTTAGAGAAATTTATATTAAGTATATATAAAAGAATGTTCGAAATTTAGTAATTTAAAGGGATGTTAAAAAGTTAAAGCAATATTTATATCATTAAAAATAGAAAGATGGAACAATTTTCAAAAACCTACACTTTTTTTTCTTAAACATTGTTACTATAAAATATAAATATAACCACACTTATAACAGTCTTGAATATAAAAAGGATCTGGTACATTGTTTAGCGTAAATCCTAAATCTTGCTTTGCTAAACCTTGCTCACCTGGAAAAAAGGTTTTTAAGTCACCATTTACCATAAGCAAAGGAAATTCTAAGAAAGCCGGTGCGGAAGTCATGCTTTTATTATATAATAATATAAAAACTTTAAATAATTTAACAGCGTTACCCGCAGCATCACGCTACACGTGTAATCCCCGATGGGGTAAGCAGAGTTCAAAGAGCACAAAACTGATCGGACGATATTTAACCAAAAGATAAGGGCTTAGATTTCAAAATTGTGAAAAAAGTTAGAGTCCATCACCTACACAACCGCGAATCCAATAGCTTATTAGTCGTCTTTCACGACATGCTAGGCAAGTTGCATAGCACCTTATTTTTTTTTATAAGTATCAATTAATCATGCGTCCTTTATATCCCAGACCAATAACATAGTAAAAGTAAAAAAGTAAAGTTACAGCCTATATACGTCCCACTGCTGGGCACAGGCCTCCGCTCATTTCTGAGAGGGTTTTAGGGCAAGGAATTGCCCGCCGCGCTGCCCCAGTGCGTGTTGGCGAACTTCACATGTCTTCGAAATATTTTTTCCTTATTTCTCTGACATGCAGGTTTTCTCACGATGTTTTCCTTCACCGACAAGCACGTGGTTAATCAGCACTTAAAATTGCAATTAACAATTTCATTGGTGCCGGCGGGGATCGAACCCGGTTTGCTCGCATACTACAGCGTACTACAGCGAGCGCTAACCATCTGAGCTACCACGGCTCAATAACATAGTACAATAATTTAAATGCAACATTTTTATTTATTAAAAAGCTTTTGGCATTTACTTAATTATTGTGCGGTGTGGTGTATTATTTATCTTTGACCATTACAAAACCCTATTTGAAAGCTTAAAATACAGTAATTAAATTAAGCTATATTTATATTCATTCCATTAATCTACAACAATTATTTCAACAAGATGGATAAAGAGCTATACGAGTGAAACTCAAACGCAAAAAGGTTTTTTTTTATAGTAGTCAGTAGCCACACGAATTATGTAAATACGAAGCTGTGTTGAAATTCATTTATTTGAGCGAATTGGTATTTCATATTTATTTTCGGAACTTGAATTTTTTTCAACATTTTTCTGTAGTCTGTTAACCGTCCGCAAAATAGGGTAGCAATACTTTTATAATGTCATTTTTCAGGTTTATATAATTCCCAAAAAATTAAATAATTACATCAATTTCCACATTTAAATTACTTGAAAGAGTTAATTCCTATTCTCATTCGTCCTGTTAACAGTCCAATGATGGATACTGGACAAGGGTTAGCTATAATCACCACGCTTTCGCTTTTCGCTGGTTTAGGTATTTAGAGTTTGGCATAAGTGAGATCTAACAGAAGACATACGATTAATTTGAATTTCCCATAGTTATTATTTATTATTTATATATTATTTACTATTAGCACATTTATTATCACATTATTATCACATTATTATCACATTTGCCGTGTAGTGGCGGTTGAGAATATCCACTACCCCATATCTTCCCGTGTGTGTCGTAAGAGGCGGCAGAGCGACACAGAAAGGAGATGGGCAGCAGCATCTTCCTAATAACAACAATAACATAATAAAAAACTGCGGTTGCCAACCCGCTCGCCAAGCGTGGCAACTATGGAAAATATCCCCCCATGAGCAACGACGCAAATAAACGTCCCCCAGTCCCCGGCGGCCCCGCTATTCCTGGCTACGGTGGCGACCATGGTAGCGGCGGGGCAGGGGGTGCTAAGAATATCCGGTGGAGGTTCGGTTGCCACCTACGACGACTTGACCGGCAACGTATAACGCACGCACCCTGAGGACTGACGAGAAGATACTGGAGCTGGAAGAAGAGGTAGACAAGTTGCGCTGGCATATTATTGGATTATCTGAGGTCCGAAGAGAGGGGGAGGACACGGTAATCCTCGAGTCCGGCAACTTGTTCTATCACCGGGAGGGCGACCATCTGTCCCAAGGAGGTGTCGGATTTATCGTCCACAACTCTCGTCAACAACGTTGTAAAGGTTGGGAATGTGTCTACGAGGGTCGCGTACCTGATACTCAGATTCACCAAACGGTATTCGCTGAAGGTCATACAGGTCTACGCACCAACCTCGGCACATCCCGATGAGGAGGTGGAGGAAATGTATGAGGATATTTCTAGAGCCATGCATTCCTCCAAAACCCACTACACGGTGTTGATGGGAGACTTCAACGCAAAACTAGGCACAAGAGAAGGCGATGAGCTAAAGTTAGGGAAATTTGGAGTAGGGCAACGGAACCGTAGGGGCCAACAGCTGGCTGACTTTATGGAGAAAGAGGGACTCTTTATGATGAACTCTTTCTTCCAGAAGCGGCCCCACAGGAAGTGGACCTGGTCGAGCCCCGACGGTTCGACAAAAAATGAGATTGACTTCATTATGATGACCAGACGCCAACTGTTCAGTGATGTCTCAGAGATCGCAAAGGTGAAAACCGGCAGCGATCACCGAATGGTTAGAGGCACACTGAACCTAAACGTTAAGTTGGAGAGGTCTCGTCTAATGAAGTCAACGCTCCGTCCCCCCTCGTGCTCTAATCCAGAATCCCGAGAATTTTCAGCTCGAGTTACGTAACCGCTTTCAGTGCCTAGAAAATTGCAATGCAGTGGACGATATGAATGACAAGCTCGTGGAAACTGTCCATGTGGTCGGAGCTAAGTTCTGCAAGACCCGCCGCAGAAGAACACAAAAAACTCTCCGATCACACTCTTAATCTCATGGCTGTTAGACGGAAGATGAGGCTGCAATCGTCAACAGATTTGACAGCATACAGGCAACTGAACAGACAGATCTCCAAATGCATGCGGCGAGACTTACGCAACTTTAATACTGCTCGTATTAAAGAAGCGATCGAGCGGAACCAGGGCTCCAAGTCTTTGCCAGAGATGCCAGAAAGAGCCAACTGTCAAAGCTGAAGACTGAGTGTGGCAGCATCGTTTCGGAGACACCTGAGATTTTGAGTGAGATTAAGAGGTTCTATGGGCAGCTGTACACATAATCGTTGGAGCCACACGCAAGTGTGAGTAACGATCCAAGAGCAAGTCTTACCCAACACTATTCCGATGATATCCCGGACGTCAGTCTGAGCGAGATTAGAATGGCTCTCCAGCACCTTAAAAACCCCAGGCGAGGATGGAATTACAGCGGAGCTTCTGAAAGCGGGTAGAACACCTGTACTTGAAGTCCTTCAGAAGCTCTTCAATTCCGTCCTCCATGATGGCACTACTCCGGAGGCGTGGAGCAGAAGTGCGGTGGTCTTGTTCTTTAAGAAAGGCGACAACGCCCTTGAAGAACTACATACAGATTTCCCTTCTGAGCCTCGTCTACGTGCTGTTTTCGAGAGTCATTACGAATCGTCTCGCATGCAGACTCGACGACTTCCAGCCTCCCGAACAAGCCGGTTTCCGAAAAGGCTTCAGTACCATAGACCACATAAATACTCTGCGGCAGATTGTACAGAAAACCGAAGAATACAATCTGCCACTTTGCCTGACGTATGTGGACTATGAGAAAGCCTTTGATTCCGTCGAAATTTGGGCGGTGCTACAGTCCCTTCAGCGGTGCCAAGTTGACTGTCGGTATATCGAAGTGCTGAAGTGTTTGTACAGTAGGACTACGATGGCTATCCGAGTACAAAACCAGAGTTCAAAACCTATCCAAATGCAGAGAGGTGTAAGACAGGGTGACGTTATATCCCCGAAACTCTTCACCGCTGCGTTGGAAGACGTTTTCAAGCTACTGGACTGGAAAGGATACGGTATTAACATCAATGGCGAGTACATCACTCACCTTCGATTTGCCGACGATATAATCCTTATGGCAGAATCGCTGGAGAACCTTAGCACTATGCTCAATAACCTCAATGGTGTCTCCCAACGGATAGGTCTTAAGATGAACATGGACAAAACAAAGATCATGTTTAATGTCCATGTCACACCTATGACGGGAGTTGTTGGGAGCACTATGCTCGAAATTGTTGACGAGTACGTTTACCTGGGACAAATAGTCCGACTAGGTAAGTCCAACTTCGACCGAGAGGTCAATCGACGGATTCAACTCGGCTGGGCAGCGTTCGGGAAATTACGACACATCTTCTCGTCAGATATACCTCAATCTCTGAAAACTAATGTGTACAACCAGTGCGTGTTGCCAGTGATGACTTACGGATCAGAGACGTGGTCCTTCACTGGCTTCCTTGGCTGGCCGTATGAGGACGCTCAAGGTTGCTCAGCGAGCTATGGAGAGGGCTATGCTCGGAGT